CCATGTATGTATACCCCCTTCCATGTTTTTTTTGCAGAAGGAACTCAGATGTAAACCATCACAGTTTACAATCTCAAATCTGATCTCCTCAACATTATATTGTTTAAAAGTGCAAGCATTTTCCGAATTATATAATAAAAGTAGTGCTTTTAGCAATGTAACTTGCATAAAAACAGCCAAAGGTAAGTTAACATTTGATTTGGAATATCTTATATCTCTGCTCGCATTTTTAGTATTTATATTGTGTCTGTTAAGTATATTAGGGTTTCAAAGTGTAAAATTACATTCATAAATTTTAAAAGAACTGCAACTTCAAAATATTTAGAGACTTGAAAGCAGATTTTTTAACAATATAACTGTGACTCTTTGGAATGGTTTTGAGAAAGATTGAAAAGGATTGTATTTCATAATATGGCAGATTCAATAAGAAGCTATTTTCAATCTTATGTTAAATGCATATTTATTAGAAAGCATATCATCATCATTTTATTTGAAGCTTTTATTGAGACAAAATTGTACTCTCAGAGCCCATGTACATTTGGATGTCCTTAGTTTTGCATAAAATTAATTTGTTAGTCTGGGAAATAAATAATTCTGGGAAAGATTGAATTTGTCATAAATTTGAATGGTGGTTAAAAAAATTGACTGTAAATTGAGAACTACCTGTATTTTATCAGACTTCTTTGGAGTTGTGTCTGCCCCTTTGTTAGTGATATTTCAGAAGGAATTGAAAATTTAATTCTGGTGAGCTTTCAGACTTGGAACTGCCTTTGTTTCTTATATATGTTTTTCAAGCTACTTTATATTGTGTTGGGAAGATGGATAATATTTTACTGTATGGCTTGTTTAGTTCGAAAGCATGTAAAAAAAATACATATGTGCGAGGGGAACCTTTACCTTTAACTTACATTGACCAAAGTCTGGTAGTATGAGTGCTATAAAAAGATGTGAGTAGCTAAATACTGCTGCTGGTAAGCTTGCTATATATAAAATTACATTTACATACATAAAAATATAATGTAAACCCTTCCTCTATTCTACATGATGAATGCTTGCTATGTGAGTTATTTTCATGTGGATGAGACTCTGCTGACTTCTACTGACAGAGGGGAAGTAATTCAATTGAGTTTCTTGGATCAGTTGCTCCTGATAGTAAGAAGGCTAAAATGCTAAATTGGGTACAATGGAGGTATATTGGGGAAGATTTTAGGACTCTGTATCCAAACTACAATGAGCAAAAACAGAAGAGAAAAAAACTTTTAAGTGTGTATATAGACAAATATATAATTCTGTCCTGCGTGATACAAGCCATCAAGTCTATTAATGAGAAGAAATCCACTTTGCTTTCTTGTGCAACCCAGTTTCATTTCATTTAGCTTGAGTCTCTTTTTGTTTTATAGGAGAATCTTCACCTCTCATCCCCCTATTTATTTCTCTTGGCGTGGTTTTTATAATATGTGTCTTCATTGTTATTTTCTGTGCTTGGAGAAAAATAAACTATGTATTCTTCCCAAAATGTAAACCTCCAAGGGTCATAGACATAGAGGTATTTATGAACAATTTAACATATTTAAAGTAAATAAAATTAAAATAATTGTGGAAAAGTAGACTAGAAGTATCACCTATATTCATGTGGAAAGTTTTAAAATTCTGTTGGAGTGGGCACATACAGATCTCTGTGAGAATGATGTTTTATAGGGGGAAGATACAACAACGATTCATTTGAGGTTATAATCAGCTACTCACGAGTACCCCATTCTTTTTTCAAGTACAAATTAAGTATTAAACTGAAATGGCAATTGTGAACCTAGATCCCTTCTCTCTTTGTCATACAGCAGAAGCCATTCTAGTGGGTACTGTAGCAGTCTGTATTTCATGTCTCTTCACTTTATTGATCGTTGATATTGATGTTTATTTTATACTGCTGACTAAGTGAAGACAGCAAACTATAGAGTTCCATGAACTCACATGGCTTTAGACTCTTCAGTTTTTTAGTCCTACTCGTGTTCAACGAGGCTGGTCCGGCTAATGCTCAAGAATTAATAATCTTTTCAGAATTTAAGCATTACTTTTAAACTTCAGTGAGTTAGCTTAATTCTATCTCTATACAACTTTTAGTAGTGCCTTGTATAATAAATAGCTTCAGCAAAATTTTATGATACTGTAATAGTTATTATTAAATCATTTAAAATTTTGTTTACATTTTTCTTATCACTTTATTTTGTCCCACTGCAGACCTTTGGAGAAAAGGATTTGAACATATTGTATTTCCCAACTGCAGAAGAGCAAACAGACAAATGTATGGTCATAAATTCCAGTGTTGCTCTTCCATGTACAGTTAACCTGGATGATGTCAGATTCGATAGAGAGTTGGAACAGATCAGTCAAGACTCAGGAAACTATTTTATAGATGACATTATCATTTCTGGAGATAACGACTCCCGTCAATCCTCAGAACTAATAACAGTATAATGCAAGATAATACAAGCTGGAAACAAGATGAGGAAAGCATCATAATGAGGAAAACTTGCTAATTATAGAAATAATCTATATTACCATTAGTCTATAAAGAACAAAGACCTATGCCTAAAAGTGGGCCACAAGCTGCCTTTGCTGACAATGATTTTGAGCTTTGGGGCCTGCTGCTGGAAGAGCCACAAATTTGTTTTCTCTTCTTAAAATGCTATAGGAAAAAATGACTTTATATGACTGGTGCTGAAATCATATTCCTGTGTTTATGTATACATACAAAAAACACACCTGGGCATTTCATTTTTACAGTATTAATTGTAGTGGATTCTAAGTGACTGATTGTAGGCTGAGCCAGCCTATAGGAGTTTTCTAAAGTATTTAAAGAAAAAGTCTACTCATCGTTTTAAAAGGAAGGAAAGGAGGAAAGAAGAGTGTCTGTGTGTACCAAATATATGCAGTGGTTATGTTTTCCTTGTGCTGTATGATCACAGTACTGTGTGGGACTGCCGTGGAATAAGCCTTGCTACAAAGCTCAAAGTCTATTGAGCAGTAATACCCTGATGTATGCCAGTGAGACTTGGACTGTATATAGGAGGCAGACTAGGCAATTGAACCTCTTCCAAACAACCTTTGTAGAATTCCGAGGATCCGGTTGCAGGAGAAGGTGCCAGGTACAGAAATCCTCTCCAGAGCAGGTGTGCCATCAGTTCAACCCTGCTGATGAAAGCCCAGACACCCTGGGCAGGCCATGTTGCAAGGATTCCAGACCATCGCATCCCTAAACAGCTCCTCTATGGTGGGCTGTCTCAAGGAAAGCAATCACACGGGGGACAATGGAAGCGATACAAAAACATGTTGAAAGCCTCCTTCAAGTCCCTGGATATCAACACCACCTCCTGGGAAACCCTGGCACAAGATCGATCAACATGGCACACGCTGATCCACCAAGGCTGCCAGGCATCTGAGGACAGAAGAACAACCGTAGCACAGGAGAAGTGAGCACTCCGCAAAGCAGCCAGAGCTGCAAATGCTGTAACAATGGTGTCCACATGTCTGCCTGACATGTGGCAGAACATTCTAAACCCATATAGGCCTTACCAGCCACCTGCGGACACATCATGGCCAGCCCACAACCTGTTAGATGTCAAGCTCCTCTTCAAACACGATGGATAAACATCATCATCATGATCACAATATTTGTACTTTCCTTGTTCATTCATTAAGCAAGATCATTCTCTGACATAAAGCAGTTCATCAGGGTAAACTTGTAACAAGTGTTCACAACAGATTTAAAATTTTATAATCTGTATGAGTTACAGGCAGTCTATTAAACTAGTTGCATACATGACCAAAATATTTTTCTGTAGCACCTTGAATCACTTTTCAACTATGACTGCCAGATATCAGTAGCAGAGTTTCGTGCTATTTTGAGCTAGAAAATGAATACAAAAATTGTATTGTACTGTAATCCCTTTACAGCTTTATAACGCAATCAAATATTCCATTCACAAACCATCAAAAATATCAGATTTATTTTAAAATAGCAGAGAAAGAGCCTTACTTAAAGTTAAATTGGGTGGGAAACAACAAGGTTTTACATATGTCATATTTATCTTTTGCCAATAAGGAATCAGTGTAATTTTGAATAAACTTTTTTTAAGAAAAAACCTGGCTTTAATTTTGAATATTATCTTCTAATTTATTTTGATTTAAACATGGCTGATAGGCCGGTCAGACTTGCTTGATATTTATTTAAAATAATACACTATTCAATTTGTATCCTGTTGGAATAATCTGTTTATCATTTCTCACATATTCATCAGTGGTGGGATTCAAACATTTTTACTCCCAGTTCTGTGGGTGTGGCTTGGTAGTTGTGGCTTGGTGGGCATGGCAGGGGAAGGATACTGTAAAATCTCTATTCCCTCCCCACTCTAGGGGAAGGTTACTGCAAAATACTGGCTGATTATAATTGGATACCAAGGGAAGGGAATATTAACAAATTAATATGTTAGCTTCATTTTAAACACGAAGGTAAATTAAGTCATCTTATTTTTATTTGGAGGATTAGTATTTGTGCAAAAATAGTTTTAGACCTATATGGTGGTATATAGGTGCACAGACAATATACATCTGAGATGCAGTAAAGCAGCTATGCATGCATTTATGCAGAAGCAGCTGCGATAGTTTGTGATGCACCTGCACAAGTTTCCCCAAAAATGTTACTTTTAAGTTTTTTAATCTATACTTTCCAAAGCATCTCTTCCAAAATCCTTTGCACAGGCTTAACATGAATTAAGTTTGCAGCATAATGGTGAATTATTCTGCTGACAATAACAGGAACAAAATGAGACCCGCATGGAAATTTAACATTCCAAGCTTGACAATTAATTCAATTAAGCTTTGTCTCTGCACCCTACAGGAGGAGTTCACTTCTGTGCGTGGAGAAAAGTTGAGAAAAATGCAGAAATTGAGTTTAAATCAATCCACCCAACTGAAGGAGTGCCTTTCAGCCCGTGGAGGGGAATTTACACCCTTCAGAACACAGCTTTTTCAACCAGCCCATAGAGACAAGAGAGAGCCAAAATCCAAGCAGGATTTTTAGCTCTGAGCAGAGCAATGATTTGCCCCCGCCAACTCACTGCGGGACAAGAGTTACACTAGTATTGAAGATATGGGGGAATAGAGTCATTAAAGAAAGGATGCCAAAGGAAGGACAAATAATAAATGAAATGTTTTAATTATTTTAAATAATTAAGCTGAATTGTTGAATTGTCCTGTGACAAGTCCTATGGTGAGGTGGCCATGGTGAGGTTTCCCATGGTGAGTTGATTGTGGCAAACTGACCATTGTAAGATGGCCATGGCAAGTTGGCTGCCGCAAGTTGTTCCGTTCCAGGCTGGGGAGGTCCTGGAAGGCCTGGTGCAAGCCACATGTGAATGTCTCTCGGGCTGAAAATCCTGCTTGGATTTGGGGATTTTTAGGTCCTAAGTGGAGTCTTCCAGGTGTTCCTGCCCAAAGCACCTTACCTGGGACTTCACCCGCTTAATGACTCACACAATTGCTTAAGGACCATAACCAGGGATGCTATGATTAAAGTTGTTGAGTGTACCAGTCATGTGAGCACTCCTGTGACATCTATCAATAGCATTTTTGCTCAATGTCTGAGACTCCAGACCCAAGTTTGGTTGTTAAGAGAAAACTAACTATAGTCCTTAGGTTTTGACAACAATTAGGACTAGAATTTCTATTGCTAAGTGCAAGTGATTGTAAAGTGCAAGTCACGTGACCACATCATCTGGCCATAGTGATGGCAATTCACACAGATCCAGCGGACTGTTGGCTGCTGCAGGTGAGCATGTACTAAAGAGTGCAGGCAAGAGATTGCTATTGAGTACAACATCACTGGGTTCTATGGTATGTAGCAGGGCTTCTCAGAAAAAAAATGGCTTAGGACAGTGACAGTAACCTTCTATACTGGTTTTTCCCATTGACTTTGCTTGTGAAAAGCTGACAGGGAAGGTTGCAAATAGTGATCATGTGATTATGGTGCAAAGTTCCTGAATTGCAGTCAACTGACTAGCACAACTTGTTCTGCACCATCATAATTTTGAAAAGTTGCTGAAAAGGTAGTCATAGCCTGAGTACTACCAGTATTTGATCTTCATTTCAACAATATTGATAAAGGGGATATATAACAAATATGTGTGGTCCTTGGTGCTCTCTGAGCTTGCTTGTTTTCTTGCAGATGTTTCATTACCCAAACTAGGTAGCATCATCAGTGCTAGTCTGATGAGGTAGTAACATATATGAACTATTTACATCTTGTAATCTTTGTAATTTAAATAACCATAGATGCAAAAATAAGCATGCTATTTATCACTAGTTCAATACCTAAAATTAGAATCAAATGCAGCAGATCATGTTTGGATGATTAGAACATTGTCATAGAGGATCTGGCAAGAAACTATAATTTAAACCCCATTTAGTTTAATTTTCTCTTTGTTGCTGAAGTGGGTGGTATCACAATGCCTAGAACAAAAGAGTTCACTGAAAGAAGATTACAGATGCCTATCAGTCTGGAAAGGGATTTAATAAGATCACAAAACTATTGAACATCGAGCATTCCACTGTCAAGAAGATCATCTACCAGCGGAGCTTTCAAACAACTGTCAACTTGGTCAACCTAGGCTACTCCTGGAAGTTCAACCTAAGCAGAATGCAAGTTGTTGAAAAATGTATTTAAGAAAACCAGAATTTCATCCTGTAAACAAAAGGCAGCTCTTACCATTATTGGTGACAAAATCGCAGTCTACAATTTAAAAAACTGTACAAATTAGATCTATGGATGGAACCTTTACGTTCATAAATAACATCAGGGCAAGATAAAGTTTGCTCAGGAACATCTAGGGCTTCTGGAGCAAAGTGCTGTTGATGGTAGATAGTTATTAGATCACAATGCCAGAAGGGCTGTTTTGAGAAAATCAAAGACAGCATCCTTGGTACAATTGTTCATTGTATCAAAGATGCTTGAGGATAATGTGAGACAACTGAAACTCAACTGAAAGTGGACTTTGCAACATGACAATGACTCTAAACATTCCAACAAATCTACAAAGGAATGGCTGAAAAACGGGGGAGAAGAGATTTAGATTTAGATTTAGATTTTACTTTATTTGTATGCCGCCCTTTTCCCTGAGGGGACTCAGGG